TTCCCTTCTTACATCCTGTGCAATTGTTAAAGATCTCCTGATCCAGAAGTTGCATCCAGGTCATCACTTTTAATAAGAACTTATCTGTCCTTCATCGATTTTTCAATCTGTTTAGACTTCTGCTATCCATAACACCCTGTGGCAATGAGTTTCACATGGTAACTACTGCTTGACAGAGTGCCTCCTCTTTGCCTGCTTCGAATCAATTTAGTAAACACAAGAACTGTGAAGGATCACTCCCTACTCCCCTTCCCCACCCCACTCATGACAATATAAGACACCTGCAATTTCTGTAATAAGTCATCTCCTCTCTGGCAAAGAGAGAAATCGCAGTAACTGACTTTTCTCTGGACCTTCCCTTGTCCTCCACTACCTTTGAGAGGTACTGATCAGAACTGCATAGTGCTTAAGATACTGGCACACCATGAATTTGCCTAGCAGCATACTAATAGTTTCTGTTTGGTTTACCAGCTTGGGTAAACATCCAAAGAGTTTGTTGATTCTTCATGGAGTACAGCATTTCCTCCCAGTTGGCCATTCATCTCTCCAAAAACTCTCTGGGAACTCACTTCAGATAGTGCTCTTAAGCAGTCTGCTGAGGTGACAGGTGAAATCTCTCTTCTCCCAACAACTACTGCAACAGATCTCTCAATTGTTTTACCCAATTCAAGTCAGTCAAAATCTCAGCTTTCAAATCCCTGCCATTTTTCAGTCTCCCAAAAGCATGTCAGTGTGCACCCACTCAAAGCTATATCCCTTCACCTGTACACCCTGTGAGAAGGCCCACGAGCCAGAGAAGCAGAAAGGACACAGTTCTCCCCAGCAAGCAGGGGGAAGCATTGCTGCATTAAAATCTATGCTGACTAACCAAGGTGTGCTGGTTTGAAAGCAAACCAGTGAGAGACTCCAAGTCAGAAATACAATTTAATAGGAAAAAAACCAAAACAATAAATGCAACAGGAAAAAAAAGAAACCACTGACAGAGTCAGAAAGCAACCTGACACCCTGTCAGTCAGGGTGTGGATAGTAGTCCGATTAAATGGTGGCTGCAGTCCTCCTGCAGTGATGGTTCTGTTGGAGCAGTAATCCTCTAGATCTGGTCTTCACCTGAAGGTCTAGTGGTAGCTCTTGTCCTCTGGGAATCCAGTAGGAAAAGGACTCTGTGCTGTTCCAAACCCCATCTTATATCCAAGTGGGAATGCTTGGATCCCCACCCCTTGGGGTGAAGCATCTCACAATGGGAGGATGTAATTCTATGGGTCATGCTGTGGGTCCCTGGCAGCCCATTAAACAGAGACAGCCCCTGAGGGAGCCGTCAGGGATGAGTAGGAGATAACGATCCCTGCCCCCACCTGCTTTAACAGCTTGTGGAGACGATAATAGAATACATACCTTTGGTGACACCCTATATTCAAGGAAACTTCCTCAGTCTTGTCCCAGTGAATATCTCAGTCTTAAGAAATTTCCCAGGAGCCCCCACATAACAACTGACTGTCCTGCAGGGACAGGCGAACTTAGCACTGCGATGCACAAATCACTACCCTCCCTGCCTCATGAGCCCCTGCTAATCCCACGAGATGTGCTTCAGCAAACAGAGCTGCTCCATATAATTACTTGGCTTATCTCCCCTCTCTTAGCTGAACTACCAAGGTACCAAAAGCCCTTAAAATTAATCATAGAGAGGCTTTCAGATTAAAATCCCTCTACCTGTGTAGTGCTATGTGCATCACTTGTTCACACAGCACTGCCAGTCACAGTACTCAGCAGTCATTCCTCTGCTTCTCAGCAGCAGCTCAAACACTGCCAAATTAGCAAACGCTTGGAGGTACTAGTTTGTTTGACTCCAATTTCAGAATCCCAGAATTTCTGGGAGGCAATTGTAACACATCATGAGGAAGATAACACAAAATAAAGTTATCAAGTGAAATACTGCATCTCTACTTACCTGACCAGAAAACCAAACAGGTAATTTGAACAAACACAGACTCCTATGAACATGCAGCTAACAAAAGTAGTTCAAGACAGCTTAACCAAATAATAGCACAGAATTACTTCAATTGTTACAAATATCTGAATTTGAATGAGCAAACTGTAGAAATAACAATTTTTGCACATCCATAAAAATCTACAGGTACCCCCACAAGCATAAGATAGCATGCAAAGGCTGCAGGAGTAAAGTAAGCCAGTTTAGCATATCAAAGTCTTCTGGATATCTCATTTGCTGAACATTTTGTACACAGTGCTGGCAAAAACAGCACAGGGTGTGTTTAGTGCTGGGGAGAAGAATCCCTTTCCTTCTGTTTCCTAAGGAAAATAACGTGGGATAGAACATCCCTTTCACTCCATACGATGAGAAATTCCACCAAATCCCTTTCTGGAGCTCTGACATAAAGGCAATTCAGAAGGTCAGCCAGAGACCTGTCCACGCCCATCACCATGAATTTCCAAGACCAGAATGAGAAAGAGTTGAGTTTAAGTTCTGCACTCAGCCTCAAACATCAGTCACCTCTGTTCTCTCTTTTGAAACACACACACACACGTATTTATACATACTTGTATAAATCACTTCTGAAATCCCTACACTGACTGACACTTCTTGCAGTGCTGAGTCTAATAGATGGCTTCCCCACATAATTTACCCCCTGTACTATAAAATGCTGCCATCCAGCTAGGGATTAGAACCAGCCAGGAGCTTGAATACAGAGAACACAACAGCCTGCTCACTGTAAAGCAGTTTACAAAGAGTATCTCACTATTACAAGAAATTGGCAGTCTGTTCAGAGCTACACCAGGCAGGAAAAAAATGTTTGAGTCCCTTGAGTCACAGGCCTAGTTCCTTGCTGCTCTTCAGGAAGGTGTGCACAAACAGGTGAGGAAGCAGTTAGTATCTGGACTCTATGTCCAGGCCTTGAGCTACAAAAAGTCACCATGTACTGTTTGCTCACATCCCCTTTCTTTGATAACCAATTGAGAAACTGCATTCTTCTTTGTCTAAAAGCATCTAAGCTTCAGGTCAACTTGTTTCAGAGATTTAGCTGAGAAGAATGAGGAAATGAGAATGCCTTCCTTGAGACAGATGTTCTAGCCTCTTGTGTACATAACTCTCCCAGCAGGACTTGAAAAATGATAATGTTGTTTCAGAAAATGCATTGAAGCTCAGTTCTGCTAATATGATCTTCTCCTAGTTGAGACTAGAGCATCCCTGTTCACCTGCTATCTTCTGCATTTATCCTGCCATTATTCCTGAAGCAGAACTACACTGGTTGAGGAAAAGTCATCCAAATTAAAGGAATGGACTCTACTTCTAAGCCACAGAAAAGGGACAATGGATGAATTGATTTGTCCATCATCTAGGACATTTGCATGAAACAGCTTCCTCAGCTCTTTATTTAATGAGCAAAGGAATCAAATTTTCCAATATGTATTGTAAATAACCACAAAGATTTGCCATGTCAAACAGCCATACATGGCTCTCTCCATACCCACCACTTACAAGAAAACATTTCTCAAGTGGTCATCTGAGAGAGCTGAAAGTTGGCAGAACTCAATGCCTAGCCAAGTTGACTCTTCAAGGAAAAATCTGGACAACATAACACTGAAAGTCTTGCAGATAGTTTGCAGCAGCTTCACTACTTTCAGGTTTTTTCAAAGAAACATTAAGTTTTTCTAGCAAGCTGGTAATGTTCCAGCTATATCAAATTCCTTGATACCTACTTGGGAGAAAATTTTGTCAATCTATTAACATTTGCATGGCTTATTTGAGCTACGAAAAACATACAGCGAAGAGGTGAAGAAACTTGTCCAAAGTCCAAATGGCATCTGCAGAGCTGAACAGGGACCCTCATCCTCACTCCCTTATCTTCCTGTCATTCTGCAGCTAAAGGAAAGCATAGCCAAGGGGCAGGTGCAGGACGAACCTGCAACAATATGGTTTCAACCGCCTGAGCTCAAGCTGCTGCTCACAGTCAGTAGCAGAACCATCACATCCATTTCTTCTCAGGGGCAAGCCCTGAGAGCTGCCCAGCAGGCATGCACTGGGGATAGCTACACCCCAGGATCTATCCACAGGGTTAGACAGAAAGCAGTATCCAAGGTACCTATCAGGGCAACATCTAAACCCAAGTATCAGAGCACTTTACAGACAAAAAGGGCCTTCCCCCAGGCTGTTTAAAATTTGCATGTTCCTGTGTAGCACTGAAGATAGCAGCAATGGTGATTCATTAAGATAATGATTTAAGTAGGAGGCTTAAGAAAGTCGGGGTGGATTAGCATCCAAAGGGCTGCAGTTGGAGCTTCTCCACTCCAGGCTGCCACCTTCCCTTTTAAGGAAAGGGATGAATTCCATAGTCAGGAGAACTATGAATTAACAGCAACTATATCACAAGTATAACGCACTGAAGCACAAGAGCATCATCTCTACTCCAGCCCATCCACCTTGGCAAGGGCAAGGACAAAATTTTATGCTCCAGGAAAATTTTCATGGCATTATAAATTATTGACAATTATAAATTATTGAATTTTACTTTACTTGATTAATTTGTTAGTGTAGGTTCTCCTCCAAAAAACAAAAGATTGTGTAAATTTCTTTTAAAACAATTTTCTTGTCCACCTTAAAAACAATACACATTTTCTTCCAAGCAATTGTCTTTCCCCACTACTGAATAATCAGATGGTTTGATAAACTGATTGCTCCCACATAATAATGTAAATATACACATTGGGAAAAAGCACACAAGTCCTTTCCACACCCCAGCATTTAATCAAATTGTGATCAGTTACGAGTTGCAACATGCATTCTGTCCGTAACACCAGGTTAATGTGCAGACAGTAACAGGCAGCTCATACTTCATCCCTGCTAAGAGAGAGGCCTTTGTACCGTGATTTTGATCTATTACTTTCAGTTGCCTTCTAGAGAGATGTACAGGCAACCAGTTTTGCTATTCTGCTGCTCACTCATAATAGTTGCAATAGGGCATCCCAGTGTGTATTGCCCCACTCACCGCTAGCTGTGCTTGGTCTGAACGTCTTCTAGGCACTCTATCCCATGCTGATTCAGTACAGAATAGCTTCCTGGAATGCAATTATAGAAAGAGTAAGGGTTTGTCTTAAAAAGGGATTATTCCAGAACAGCTATTCCTTATTAACTATTCCCAATCGTCTCTTCATTAGGATGATGAAGTTAACTGAGAATAGCTCTTCCATTCAGATTTGTAACTTACCTTAGTCTGAATCAATGAATGACCCTGTCCAGATGAGCCCTTAGTACAGCACCATAGCAATGGCTTTGCCAATACAAATAACTCACATTTGCAATGACAGTGGAGCTGCTGCATGGACACATCTCAGCTGAGTTTGCATTAAGATGGGTAGATAACAGGATCAAGAAATATGTCCAAAAAAAAAAAGTTGTTTCTATCATGTTAGATCCCATCAGTACTGCATGGGACATTTTGTACTTTACAAGTCTTGGGATCTGCTTTGTTCAAACTTGGTTTATCCCTTAGATGTATGGAGACCTTAACAGCAGGGAAATTTTGAGTTCTGTAACTTCTTTGTTTATTAAGTTCTTAGCTTGCAAGATTTCTCATCCAAAAGGGCTGAGAAAGTACCTGGCACATCTTCGACGCTTATTGAATACATTAAATAAATCAAACGTTTTATGATAAAATTCCACTCCCCCACACCAAACAGATGTAGGTGCAAGTCAAAGAGGCTTGAAAAATTGCACTAAAATTGATTTTGCTCCAGTTTTCCCCAAAGGAAAAAATTTGAGTGTGGGTTGAGACAAAAACATGGAAAATTTAAGCTATCATGGACAACTGAAAAGAGAAATAAAGACAGAAGCCAAAACTAAACTTCACATTCAACATACATAATTTATATTCTCCACAGTGTTCTGTATTACAGGCA